TATATCTTTTAATTTTTTTCGAATTTTAAAAAAAAATTTAAATTTTTTAATTTTTATTTTAAATTTTTCTTAATAACTTTTAAATTTATTTTTTGCTGTCTATTTTTTTATATTAATCATGAATAAAATATATTTATCTGAATTACGAAATTTTGCAAAAAATATCGAGAAGAAAAGAAAAATAGAACAGCTCCACTCAAGCACTGTCTGCATACTGACATGAACTACTTAAAATCAGCAACGCAGCTTAGCGTTTCACTTGAACCATCAAATTTGGGTGGAGTTTTTATATTCGCCGCACTTTTTTCGCCATCTTTCATTGCACAAAAATTCGCTGAGCGGACTTAGAGAGCGGTGAGTATTTCGAGTAACTTTAACGGCACGTGATTGTTATGCATTTACATACATACATATGATATATGTGGATGAAAAAGCATAGCAAAGCAGATAAGCTCAATCAGTGTGTGCATGGAGAAAAATTGAGCAAACATAGAAAGCGAAAAAAGAAGCCAATAATGCTGTGAGTCGATTTGGTCCCATGAAGTCTGCGGAGTTCAAACCAGCAATACTTTTGGGATAAAGAATTAAAACAAAATATGTATTTTTTTTAGAAGTACGGTTTTCAATGACTCAACACTGTTTTCAAATTTTCAAAGTTGATCTTGATTTATACTAAGCTTGTTCTAGCATTTCATAGTGAATAGACTTACCGCGCGACATCGTTTGAAAACTCTGTCATATGGTAGATAATGCGAGTAGCCATGGATTGGTTTCACACGACTTTTATTTTAGTGGATGATCCTCACCCTCAGACCCGCCATCGTACAGTGTGTACCGAAGACGCTGTTGCTGCTGTGGAGCAGAAGATCAACGAAGACCAATCCACCATCGCGAGTAATAATTCGAGCAATGCTCATACACCTTAGTGGAAGATTTTGCCGAAAGACCTTGGTTTGCGGGCTTACAAAATCCAACTGCAGCAAGAATTGAAGCCGAACGACCATCAAGACTCTAACTTATTGGAATGAAGTTTAAGACAGCTCTTCCAGGTAGAGAAAAGTGAGGTATATTCCCCCTCAAAAGATTGCGATTTACTACTCTTTCTGAATGTCATTAGGGATAGTAAGATCAGGCTATTTGCAAAGATTGCGTTGGGAACCTCTCCCACTTTGATGCAAAGATATAAAGAGACCGCATAAACTTTATACTCCTCTGAAGTAGCTGTATAGCAGCTGCAGGTCCTGACGCTTTATATGAGAACTTAATTGCAAAACTCAAAATAAACTCTCGTCAACCGATGACATCACAAAGGCAAAATCTGGCAGAAACAATCTTCCAAGCAGTCTCAAAATTATGCTGTTATTTTTCTAAAGTTTACCTCCACAAGCAACGAGAAATCTCGCTCCAGATATCTCTTCCTTCACTCCATGGATATGCAAACATTTTTATCACTTTCACAATGACATTTTAACACATTTTATGTACACGTATCAATAGCTAAGTCAATTTATATGCTTATGTGTCTATTCAAGTCTGTGCGTGTGTAAATCTGGTCGTGTATGCAAAACTTTCGCGCTTTCGATTCGACTATTGCAACATGAAAATCAGTTGATACTGAGTAAGTCAAAGTACACAAAAACTACACACGCACACACACACGCACACATAAAAAGTTGGAAACACACACGCACACAATATAAATAAGAGTTAGCCACTTTGGTTGGCAACTAAATCCCCTATCAACAGGCAAAAAGCCCCAGACGTTGGGAGTCAAAGGCGCCAATCGTGAGTACGTGTGAGTTTGTTAGTGTACGTGTTAGTGAATCTGTAAAATATCTAAATAAAAAGTATTAAATTTAAGCTGTTGTTTTGACATAGAAAACATTTTCGGCAAACATCTTTTCCTGTTTTGGCTTCTGGGGATATCTTTATCATCTCATAGACCTCATGGTGCTTTGTGTTTTATTTAGTGAATCAAGAACTCTAAGAGTATTTGTAGGCTGAACTTTATTTTGAGTCAACCACTCGTAAACTCAAGTATTTTATTAAGAAAAATAAAGTCATGCGTTTTGTTCTACTGAGACCTCAAGTGATGTTTCCCAAGGTTATTTGACAAAATTTCTGTACCTTGGCGCATGTAGCTTAGCTCAACGCAGGTGAGCTTAGAAATTCCTTGATTCGTTGAAAAAAAAAGTTCTCTGAGCAGTTTAAAGCGGAATTCGTAGGAAGTTGATTAAATGCGATCATATTCTAAACGAATGAGAGAGATGGAGTATATACTACTATCTGTACCTCCTGTTCTAAAAACTTAAATTATACCGATACAAAAATTTATGATGTTTCAGATGACATTTGCCGAGGTGGTTAAAGAAGTATCGGACTTTAGCTAGATGAGGTATGCAGATCTCAGTTGCACCGAAAGGAGGAAATCGGAGGAGCCTGCTTTGGGAGTTTTCGAGAGTAAACCTATGTATCGATGGGCACGCAATATATATATATATCAATATACATGTAGAAATATATACATGTAGATGTTATCTTCACACTTTCTGAATCTAAAATTGGTTTTGGCCACAGGTACGCCAACTTAGCATTAGAGATAAAAGGTTGAAAATATAATATGGCTGTTTAGTGCTCAGGGACCGGAAGAGTATGTGAGACAAGCCCGAAAAGACGCACTGCTTCACATAATTGACTGACCGCTTGACCACAATTCCCATGTTTGTTACATAAATACGGACTAAGAGGGGTATCGTTGGGTAACCAGATAAAGAAATCACTTTCCTCAGATCGATAACCAGAGAAGCACCAATCGTGTACTGCGCCATTCTCCCGCCAAAGGGTTGCCTATCATAAGAGAGTGTACTCAATAAAGCTGAGGATAATCATCGATACAAATGAGTGATGGCCAAAGGTATTTATCTAGTGACTGTTGCCCATCAAATCAATAGAAAATTTTCTTAGTATTCCAGGTATCTGTTGTCAAGATTTTTAAATTATTTTCTTATATGATAAAAGAAGTTCAATTTGAAATAGTCTACAGACTGGAACTCACGCTCTCGTTTATATCTTAAGCTGTTAACAGCTGTAAAAATCATTTCAACACTTTGCTTTTGTGTGTGTTTTTTTTTTATACAAAATACCACACACACATAAATGGCAGCCAATTAACGCTGTTTTGATTTCCATTTTCCACATACAAAACCACAACAAAAACGGAATTGAACTCAACGCCCGCATAATCGCGTGGTATTTTTATTATTTTTTTTTTATTTTTAATTTCCGCCAAATAAATTTGTTCACCAAAAATCGTGTCAGAAATAGAAATGTGATTTAAATTATTGCATGTCACCTACACAGAATTAAAAGTGAGTTGTGAACGCCTAAAAGTATGCCTTAAGCGTGATTGCATGACTGTGTGCATATGTGTGTGAGTATATGTGTATGTGGCAGGCCAAGTGCCTCGCAGCTATTGAAAAAGAACAAAACTAAATATTCTGTCAAATATATATGCATACATATATTATATGTATATATGTGTTGTTGCTGTTTCCTTGAATAAATTTGTGTTTACACGTGCGGCGACTAATTAAATTTTCGAAAAATCGGGTGCAGCAAGCACAAGAATTTTGCCAAGTTAGTTGTTATCCTTGCCTGGTATGGTTTTATCATCCAGCGCTACTTTTGCTTGGCTTACATACTACCTTCTGCCGTATGGATTTGGATCTTTGCGAATAAAAGGTTTATAGGTCTCTATTAAAAGCAAAGATAATGGAAGGTGCTTGCGTTGTACCAGTTATTAGGCAACAACCGAAACTGTTATTTCAAAAAAAAAATACCAAAAAAAAATGTTGGAAGAACTTGAAGCTTCAATTTAGCGGAATGAGTTCAGAAGTATATTTTCTTCAGCTCCATTCTTCAGCCCCACCCAAACTACTCTCCAGCAAATTCAATATAAGATGTGTAGAATTCAATCTAGATATTAAGCAGATAAATGAAAATAAGGTACCGGAGAAGAAAGAGCATTTCAATGCTGTCAAATGGCTACTAGACGCTTTAGTGAGATTTTCCCGATGCAAAAATATAAAAATAACTCTCACTGCTGGAGAATTCATTACGTTCCTTCGTCTGCTTTCTTTTATTTTTATACTCTAGTTTTAAATTTAAAAAAACTCAAATCGATTTACTTCCCTCCCTTAATGATTCCGCACAACTCCGACGGAGAGGAGTGAAAATACATAACGAGGCCGATTTGATGCAGAACTGCTTGAACCCCTCTTTTTTAGGAATCGACTTACAAGACCACTGAGATCATATGAGAGCATATGGTATCATAAATTTGTCCATCGAACCTTCAATATTTATTTATTTTAACCGACGTGACCATAAACCATTTAAAAACTCTTTCTTCCGTTGGCCTTCCGCCTGGAAAATCTCAAGCTTTGTGTTCTCGATGCCACTCATACACAGAAGAATTTTTCATTCCTCTCAATCATGCCTTCGTCGCTCTATATGTAGACAGTTAAATCCATTTTACTCTCATAAGCACAACCATTCTGAGTTCTTGGCTTTTTAGTTTGCTTTGAACAGGAACATGTCGGTTTTGACGGTTATATTTATTTTTGCAATGCTTTATCCTGGATTTTGGGTGAACTCTGCAGTTTTCCAAGTTCAGCCAATTAGACTCCGGCCCTCATCCCGTCAGCCATTTTTGAGCTGTAGTAAGTTCTTTTGCTCGACTGTAAGTTTCTGTGACTTTGAACTTCTGTTAGGGCAGCCTGAAATCTTTATTCGCAAATAAAGCGCTGAAAGGTAGTCGATACGGCCTAGATTTTCCTGACTCATTCAGCTTTTACCAATGATTTTGGTACAAAATTAACATAAAGAAACGGAAACACTGTGATTTCACCCGTCTATCTTCAGAACTATATTTCAATCTTCCTTGGTTAAGAAATTTGAAGACTCAACCAGAAGAAGTAGAAGGACAAACGCGCCTGGAATTTGATTCACAGTTAAATAAAACTAACTTTTTTTATTTTTATGAAAGATACAAAAGATCAACAGAGCACTAATTTTTCTCATTTCAGCATAAACCACAATTTACCTGCGCCTCCACTTTCTTCGCATCGTTGCCCTTACCATAAGGCGAAGCACTATTCACCTCCAAAAAGTAATTACCCTTGATGTTGTGTGGCGTTGCATAGCCCATTGGAAACTCCGGACCGGGACATTTCGATTCAAGCAATTTCGTCAGCGAACTGCAACGTTTACCCATAAAATTCAGTTCATTACCAGGATAAACAGACTCTGCATAGTACTCCCAAGCACGGGCATGCGCACAGACAACATGCAAGCAGCCATTCGGTAAAGGATCCAAGCCACCGGGATAGAAATCGACATCACCCATTGGTTCTCGTTTGCCCAATACACCAGGATTCGAGTGGATTACATCGATGAAATCAGCATCACCACGCAGTAGCCCCGAGAGTGAGTGGCCTTCGTTGAAGCATGGTTTCGCAGGATCCAAACCGGTTATGCGTGGTATCAATTTGCCGGTGCGATAGCTGAAGTAGCGCCCGGCGGCGCCTACAATGTGTGCACCTAAACTGTGTCCGATCAAATGGATATTGTGTAGTGGCACCACTTCGGTGAGGAGTTCGAGACCTTCTGCTATGCTGGCGCCTATTTCGTCAGTGTTCAATGCTGACCAAGTGTACAGCGTGTCCACGAAATTTGCTACATCCACGGCCTGTAGAAAGAAAGATTATGTTTTTGCATTTTAATCATCGAAATTACGTTTTATTAAAAAAAATCAATCCGAAATTGGTCTGCGAAACTTTAATGTTTCGAATTTTCATTTAATAAATTTAAAATAAGTTTTTAAAAACATAAACATAAAACTATAAATTTCAAAATACAAAATCAAAAGAAATGATATTATTTTCATACCCAAAGTTTAGCAATTCGATTTAAATTATTTAATGAAAAAAAATTTCATATACGAAAAGTTCAGCAATTTTCTGATTCGATAATCATGAATACAATTGAGTACCAACATCTTAAGCTACCCAAAACGAGGCTTTAAAAGAATTTCTGTGAATGAATTATTCGAAATTTGAAAAGGTAATAGTTCGGAAAACACTATAAGTAAAAAAATCGCCGAATTGAACAAAAACCTTTGTGAAGAACTAAACGAATTTTAAGTTCAAAACTTATATGGGGAAATTTAAAAACTTGATACAAGACAATTTTTTAATAAATATATGTCCGAATGATCATTACGCAATTACACAATTCCTTTTTTTAGTTTAAAAATCTTGAAAAACAAGAACAACAAAAAATAAGATTCTAGCCCAATTTATAATTGAAAAAATTCTAAAAAAAAATATGTAAAAATTTACCGTAATTTGGAAAACAAAATATTTTCAGAATATTTAAGAAAAAAATTCAACTAGAGCAAATAAGTAAAAAAAATTTAATTCAAAAATGACTCATACTTAAAATTGAACAAAATTGGTTTAAGAGTTTTTGGCAATAAATTTTTATTACAAATTTTATTATTTTTACTATTACTATTTAATTTAAAAATTTCTCATAACCAAGATTTCAAAAAAGTTCATAACCAGGAAAAAAAATATAATTTTAATTATCTTAAATTATGTAAGAAACTAATAATTTTTTATTTTAGTTTCTGATTTAAATATTCAAAAATGAAAAAAACCAGAAAATAAATTAAAATTTCTAACAATAAAAAATCAATTAAAAATTTAAGCTTGAAATAATATTTTAATTCAAAAAAAATTTAATTACTTTTAAAAAATATTTAGAATTATAATTTTGTTATTCTTTACATTATTATTTTAACTAAAAATAACTCATATCTAAAAATAATTAAAAAAAAATTTATGTATCATATTTCTCAACTTCAACAATTACTTTTATTTGAAATTTGAAAAATTTTCATTATTAACATTGAATTAAAAAATGTCTCATATAGAAAATTAACAAAAAAAAATAAAAATAATATATTAAATAATTTTCAAATAAAGAACTCCGCATTTCAAAAATTAGCAAAGACATTTTTTTGCGTTTTTAATTTTAAATTTAATTAATTTCAAAAAAATAATGCTTAAATTTAAATAAAAATTATAGTTAATAATATAAAAATTATATACTATAATAATCATTTAATTTTAAAATTTCTCATACCCAAAATTAGAAAAAAAATTAAAATTTTTAACAATTAAATTGTATTAAAAATTTAATGATTTTACAGATATTTTTTTTTAATTCAAAAAATTCCAAAAAATTGAACAAGATTTTTTAAATAACAATTTTAACAAATAGTTTAATCAATTTTTCGTTTAAATCTAAATTTAATTAATCGTATTGAAAATAAAAAAGTTAGAAATTTCAATAATAAATTTGAATTAATAATTTAAAAACGTCTTATATATTTCCAATAATCGGAGTGATCAAAAGTTTATACTAAGCCTTATACTTATGGTTGCTTTTATACTAATACTTTATTTAAAAAAAATTCATAACTGCAATTAACAAAAAAAATGTTTGCAACATTTAATAATAAATCTTAACTAATAATTTTTTAAATATATTTTTAATTTAAGATTTTCTAATAAATAACCTTAGAAAATTTCACAAAAAATTTAATAATTTCAAAATATTCTTAATTAGTCTTTAATCGGAAAATTTCTTTTATCCAAGATTAATAACAACCTATGTATTTTAGAACTTATACGAATAAATTTAACTAATAATTTAAAAAATTAGCATTTTGCAATTTCTTTATTAAAATTTTAATTGAAACATTCGACAGTCAATATTTTTTTCTATATGTTATCTTTAATCTGCAAAGTTTTCAAATCCAAAATAAAAAACTAAATTATTTTTCGAATGTCTCAATATACTCTTTAATACTGATAATTAGTTTGAGTTAATGATTTAATAATTTTTTATATTATTCTTTATTCTATAGATTGTTCAAAACCAATTAATTTTTTTTTTAGATTTTTAACTTTAAATTAGGACTAATTGTTTAAAAAATTTTCATATATAAAATCAAGCAAAAAAATTTCAAATTTCAATAATTTTTATCAAATCACTTAATGGTTTTTCAATTTTTAATTTTATAATTTCTCATGAAATTAAGAAAAATGCAGTTTTAACAATAAATTTTAATTCAAAATTTTAAAATTTTTTAGTCTAAAAAAAAACTATCACTCATTCGAACAACCAGAGCAGCAGCATGATAGATATTTAAGAAGTAAATTTTCAAATATTGCACTACGCTCCTTTCCCCCTCACTTCCACCCGCATACTCACCACAAAATTCACATCACCACGGCAATTGTACGCCTTGGCCAACACATCAATCGTATCTGAATTATTGACTGTTGTCGTCCAGCCGGTGGCCAAAATAACTACCTTCTTTTTCGCATCAAATTCCGGACTACGCCATATTTCATTGGAATTCAGCAGCGGATAAGTGTAGTTTTTGCAAGTGGTGCGTAGCTGGAAATTGATCTTCTTCAAATCGGGCGTTATGCGTGGCTTAATCGCTTCGGAGGAAAGAGCGGAGGAACCTGCAGTGTGGTTGAGTTAAAAATAATTTTTAAATAGTTGAAAATTCCCCACTGAGCGCCGCGTGCACTGCCAACACTTACAAATCTGATTCACTGCCGAGGAAATCAACTCGAATGGATAGCCGGCGACGACATTTTTACCCGCCTCAAATACACCCTCAGGTGTGGGTATTAATTTGCCAACATCCTTGGCCACGCCGGTTGTAATATCGCTCAAACTTTTACCCACATCAGTGATGCCGCGTAGCAAGCCGCCTTGTGCGCGTGCGCCAACAACACATAAGATAAGTATCAAGGCGATTTTAGTGACATGCACATGCCTCAAACACGACATTTTTATTCAATTTTAACTTTTATTTTCTATTTAATTGTAATAATTTTTTATTATCACTCACTTGCCCACTTACTCATTGAATTAACTAATAAATATCATTGACCGTTCGGCAATCGTAACGCGGAGTTTGTTCTGCGAAAACTAATCACATTCGTTTAAATCGCTGCTTATATATACAATGCTTAATTACACGTATATTTGCATCTATGTAAGGTAAGCATGACAATTTGTTTACAAGCGCTCACTTGCTAAAAACAACTAAATGCATTCTACCAAAATTCTCTCAGCATTTATCTATTCATCCGGATTCTCCTTTCTACACTGACATTAGCGCGAGCGTCCTATTAGCTTAGGTGCCTCACTTACAGTAGCGCGATGAAATAAAAGCATAAATCAGTTGAAAGCTTGTGGAAATTCAAATTAGAAGCTTAGCACTTCAACAGCTCTTCAAAATCCACTATGATAAGAAACAAATCAAAAAGAATTTCTTAAAATTACTTAAAAAACAGCACTGTTCACTCACAAGTTATTTTCGAAATCTACATTTAATTTATATTTAAGACTTTTTTTTAATTTAAATTGCAAATATTAAACCCATTTTATAAGATTTCCCACCTGATTCGGGTTCGACAAATTAATATTTAAATAAAGGCCAACAAATTGGTCGTGAAACTCGGTGTTGTTACTAAGAAGGTTTCTGCTAACTTCCAGCAACATGTGTCTTCACTCGTATATACCCCTTGACTGCTCTGCTGTAGCGCTGGAAAGTTCATTCGTATCTCACATTGTCGCCACAACATATATATATATAAAATATAAGTACTGATAGCAGGAAAATATATTTTTAGCATTTACGGAAAGTCAGTAAAAATTATATTCTACTAGTGAGCTTTTGAAGAAAAATGAAATAAATAAATAATTAATAAAAATTTAAATTAAAAAAATTAAAAATAAAAAGATAGGTGGCGCTGCAGACGATTAAACTAAGAACTATTGCTTTCTAAAAAATTATTAATATAAACCAAAGTACCGAAAAACGAAAATAGGTTGGTAGGTAGGTACTGTGCATATTCGACGACACACATAGGCTTCTAGGCGACCTATTGTGGTAATACCGGAACTGAAGTTTCCCTCAAACTAGAATGGGCTCCTTACAGTTTTATTATATAATGTAATATACCATCAAGAAAACTTGACTGTCAGTTGGGAGCATTTTTCTAAACAAATTTTAGCAACGGTACAGCACATGTTCTTCAATATCTTCTTCTTTCACCTCCTTAAAGCTTCCCTAGTAATCGCTGTATAGTATTTCTAGTATAGGAGCGTGTCTGCGTATAAGACAGCAACATTTTAGTACTTTTATTAGAGTTTGTAGGTCAGTCGTCTTTATATTTAATACTGCTCACATTTGTTTGATTGTGATGCAAGGCAGTGATTAGTGTCTGTCAGCTTTATACTCGTATGTTTTTATCTTGAGCTCTAATAGATACTGAATTCTCTGGACAACTAGACGAATTTAAGCTCAACCTCAAAAGATTGCGGTAATCCACTGTATTGAGAAGAAACGCGAATTCGCTAAATATATCAGAATGTCCCTTATTGCAGCTTATTGAGAATATACCCCCAGTCAGTGCGCTAATAAATATGCTAGCAGCTCTTTATTACTTTCCAAACATTTATTTATGTCGTAATTGGCCTAACAACTACCGTTCCGAAACCCTATTTGAACCCTACCATGCTTTTGCTTTCTTTATTATTATTTTTTTCTTAAATCAAGTCTCCAACTTCCTATACAAAGTTAGTCCCAAGTAGCTTGCTTTCCCTTCTACTGATAATAATGAATTAAATCTCTTGAATTCTGTGTTTCTAGCTTGATTTGGAAGCATTTCAGTTTAAACCACAGGACTTACAGATAGCATTTCGAATGGTTTGCGGAAGATATGTGAGAATTTTCCTCTAGTTCAAACAGCCAAATCGTCAGCGAATGTCACAACATGTACCTCCTTTCTTTCTAAATCCAACGACATTTCATTCATTCTCGGCTTCCAGAGGGATAAGGATGGCATACTTTCCTTACGGATACCTCCAGACATAGATTTGCAACTCATGGAAGTTGACAGCATTAAAGTTATGAGTCTGCCGAGAAGCATCAATTAATTTCACAGTAGACAATGAGATATCCAGATCATTAAATTATGCAAGTCAAAAAATACTCCCAAGCAATTTTTTAAGCCTAATCAACGTTTCAAGTGTACGAATAAACATCAAAAGATATTTTAAAATAAAGCTATTGTATATATTAAAATATTTGAGGAACAAAAATTAATTTTCATAGTTCGCTGCTACCATTTTTCTCGCAATTGTAGCCACTCTCAAGCAGTTGAACAGTCACACTCACCTTTTTTGCTAACACTTCACTCTTTCTTTATCTCTTTTGTGTTTTTTTTTTTATTTTCTATCTTTTTTATAGTTTTTACCCAAAAGGCAATTCAACTATATATATAAACACTTCTGGAATTTCTAATTGAAATTTAATGAATTACTACATTTCTACCAACAAATTGGCGTTTTTTCCACTGAAAATGTTATAACACACTGGGAGAATTCAGGAAGTGTAGGCAGAATGTGTGCAAAAAACAGAGCTACGAAAATGGTAAGAGTGAAATGCAGGTTTAGCAACTAGTACAACGGTAATACACTTGCACCATATCTGTAACCGATTTAGTCTCTTCAAATTTCTTCAAATTTTTATCAATTGCTTGCCAGCTATTTTGAAATTAAAATTTTTAGACTAAAGAGCAAACCTTTGCAATGAAAATTATATATATATTTTTTCTAATTTTTTACAGGAATAATTTTTTATGAGTGCAGAGCTCTCTCTTTCGCTCTATCAATCTCGTTACTATTTAAAATTTCTTTAAAACACGAATCCTCTTCGATACGAGCATTTAGAAAACGTAAAGTATGCTAACTTACTTTTCGCTATGAAAAGTCATCGAATCGTTCTTAATCTTGCTGATTTGTTTCTCCTTATATATGCAATTTTTTTTAAATTTATTAAACACTAAACTCGTATTAGTTTCACACAATTAAGTTATTAAAACGTAAACAAATAATAATTTGACGCGCCTTGCTTATAAATCAACTGTAAAATTATTTAATTGACATTATAATGAAAATGATCTCACAGTGCAACGCTATGAATATGCATAGAGTAATATAAAAAATTAATAATAAAATCATAAACAATATATAAATACATATACATATGTGTACACCCTTATGCAAATGATTTATACAGATCATTTCAGCATAAGGCAGTCAACAGTGACTAATAAATGTCTTCCGATCACAACTGATATCGGATTGTGATTAAAGAACGAAATCGAAATGGAGAGTCGGTGATCACACAGATTATCATACACACATATTACATATATATATATATATGTATATATTTTACATATAAATTTGTAGCCATGTATGTTCTAGCAAGTACGTCAAAGCAAGCACGCCATAAAAGGCGTCGAAATGCAAAAAAAAAACGCAAAAACAATGACAAAAAATAAATAATAAATAGGAACATTAAACATTTCGAGCATGCCAGGCACGCTTCTATTGTTTTTATGCATATACTTATATACATATATATTTGTAAATAGATGTTTCTCTCGCAGCGATAATAAAACTGGTTAATAATGCTGTTGTTAATATGAGTTTTTTCTATTGGTTTATAAAGGCATTTACTGAAAGCTGTAGAATTGTACAAAAAATGCAACTAAAGTTAAAGAGGAAGATGCGTCAAAAAAAAAATAACACAACCCAACTGTGTGTGTAATAAAAATAAAAAAGAAATAAAGTTAACGAAAGATAAACTAAAAGTAGGAATAATATAAAAAATGAAGAAAAAAAATGTAATAAAGAAAATAAATGATAATAAATTCAAGTGAGCTAAAATAAAATAAAATAAACTAAAAATTTAATAAAAGTAAATTAATTAAAAAAAAATAAATAAAATTCAATAAACAAAATTAAATAAACCCAATTAACCTCAAATAAAATGAAATAAAAAAATTAAATTAAATCAAAAAATATGAGCACATAAATAAAAAAATTTAAATAAACAAAATTAAAATTAAATTAAATACAAAAATTTGTCAAGTAAACGAAATTGAAATTAAAAAATTAAAGTAATATACAATAAAAAAGAAAAAAAAATGAAACAAATTAAATTATTTTTAAACAAACGAAATTAACAGAAAATAAAATGAAATAAAGGAAATTCAAATAAAATGAAATAAACAAAAAGAATAAATGAAAAAATTGAAAAGGAATACAATTAAATAAAATATAATAATATAAAATGAAATAATTAAAAAAAAATTAAAAATATATCAAATACTATAAAATTAAATTTAAAAAAATGTTAATTAAATTACATTAAATACAATAAAATAACTTCAACTAAAAAATTAATAGACTTAAATTATTTTAAGTAAACTAAATCAAATAAGTAGTACTAAATAATTTAAATATAAAATATGCAAAAAGAAATTAAATTAAATTGAATAAAAGCAAATAAATAATAGAAGAAAAATTAAATTGAAATATAATAAAATAAAATGAACATAAAAAATATAAATTAAATAACATTAAACTTATTTGAAAAAAAAATAAAACTAATTTAAATAAAAAAATTAAATTCATTTAAACATAGTCAAATAAAATAAACCATAGTAAAGAGACTAAAATAACATTAAATAGAGTAAGTTAAATGAGAAGATAATTAGCTGAAACTAAATTAAATTAAATAAAGCAAATAATAAAAATAAAAAAGAATATAATTAAATAATGCAAAACAAATAATTTTAAATGAAATAATTTAAAGCAAGATAATACAAAATAAAAGAAACAAAATAATTAAATTAAAATAAACGAAAATATAAAGTGAAAATAATAAAACTATATTATATTATAATACTATATTATATTAAACTGAATAAAATAAACTAAAATTAAAGAAAAAAACAATGAAAAATAAAAAAGTTACTTAGAACAAGGTAAAATATATATTAAAAAAAATATAGTGAATTAAAATAAAATAAAATTTAGCAAACTCACCAACGACACCAGGATTTGAACTGGAGCCTTCCAAAATGCAGTGCGCAATACTAACCACTCGACTACTCCGGATAAAATGAATTAAA